TATATATGTATATATGTATATGTATATATATATATATATGTATATATGTATATGTATATATATATATATATTCATTTATTTTCTGTCTCAGGTTGATATCCACAGCACACAGCGACACCCAGAGACTCCCGTTAACGTAGCAGGATTCCACTTCCCCTCCAAGGTAAAAGTCTTCCTTCTCATAGAAACATCTCATGGAGAGTAAAATCAAGATAAAGCCTCAAACATCAGTTGGAGACATTTTCCAGTTTATAATTTCCTCGACGTTCCTTCAGAAACATGTGGACAGGTTGGACGTCCAACAGACGGAGACATCAAATGGTGACGAGTTCAACAGCTTCCAGTTCTGGAGAGAACCGCTACCGTACATCGATAGAGACCTGCTGGGTCTACTGGTGAGTCTGACCATGAGGAAGTCTGTCTACGTCCTCATGTCTTCACGTCCTCATGTCCTCGTAGCCTTCCGTCCATGTCCTCATTTCCGTGTAGACTTCAGTCCATGTCCTCATGTCCACTCATAGAAACATGTCTGTCCATTTCTTCTTGTGTTGGAGGATTCAAACTAGAAACAACAAATTGTTTTGTGTGATCATTCATCATCAACAGTGTTTATAGTTAGTAACAGTTCAGGAGACATTTTTACTTCTCAGAGCAGGAAAAGAACAATAAATAAACTGAACCCTCTCCAAAGTCTCCTCACTGTAAATGTAACGTCTGGTGTCGTCGCTGCTCCTCCAGGATCCTGTGGAGGTTTTAAACCCAAAGATCAAACAGAACCAGACGAGCACACAGACGTCTTCTGCTGACGATGACGAGTTCAACACTTTCCAGTTCTGGAGAGATCCGCTGGCGTCCATCGATGAGTGTCTGCTGGAAATACTGGTGAGTTTACCAGACCTGATGCTTCAGGATCTGAGCTCATTCAGAACAAAGGGAGCGTTTGGTGTCATGTGACTTCTCTACAGCACTAAATAGACCAATCACGGGCCGCCTACTACAGACCAATCAATAGACCAATCACGGGCCGCCTACTACAGACCAATC